CAATCAGCTTGTAGCACTCCAAAGAGAAAGGAAAAATTGAAATCGCATCATATGACCCCTTTAAAAAGTTAAGGCTTATTCAAGTAAACTACCGCCGTTGAAAAAAACCAGCATATGCTGGTTAGGTATGTTTTGAAGCTGGGATGCTGGTTTGAGCTGGTTTTACATGACCAGCATAAACCAGCTCAAACCAGCATCAAATCATACCTAACCAGCATATGCTGGTTTTACGGCGCTACTTTTGTATCGTGCCGAGCACTCGCTTTTTTCCGTACATGGGACTGATTATTAATAGAGGACTGAGTATTAATATCAGTGTAACTGTAATGTAACATTGGTGTTCGTCTTGTTACTAGACTTATTGTTTTGTACAATGGACTACTTTTGTTAGTGGAAGCTTTAGGATAATACAAGTTAAAAAACACGAATTATATCAGTAACGTAAGCTTTAACGCTTTTAAAGTTTAAACACTCCGACATTAACATAAATATTTATTTCTTTAACCATCGGAGGACCGAATCTTCTGTGTTTTTTTTCTGAGGAAATCTACGGTGTTACGGTCTATAGAGGTTTGAACCCAGAACAGTCGTTTGAACAGTTCCTCCTCCTCTCAATGACATTACCTCACACTGTAATTGAGCGTCCACAGCAACCCACGCCTCTTCCAAAATCTTCTGGCAGGAGCTAACGTGGTTGTTAGCCTTAAAGGTGCGTTCACACCATATCGGAATTCCCGTAATCTTGTAAACCGTTCACGTCCTCGTAGAACTCGTAATTACAGCTTGTGAACTGGACGTTTTTTGAGAGCTACGACTTGTACCACGTGACCCCCGCAGGCTCTATGGTTTGGAAAAAAAAAATACTATGTAAGTCAATGGGTGCCATCTTTTTGGTTACCAACATTCTTCAAAATATCTTCTTTTATATTCAACAGAAGAAATATAAATTCATACCGGTTCTGAATGACATGAGGGTGAGTAAATGATGACAGAATATTCATTTTTGGGTGAACTATTCCTTGAAACACTCTCAAACAATACCTTTGCATTTCATATAATAAAAATACAGCAATTTTTATTTAAATCTAAAAACAAATCACATGATCAAAAATGAAATCAAACCTAAAAAAATCAAAATAATTCTAATATACACAAACTGAAAAAAATATAGTGGTACAATTAAAATTATGTGATTGGATCTGAATGATTAAATCAATTTTTTATGTGGACTTGTATGCTTCTTTGAGTATTTATTTGAGTTGCATTACTCTGTATGGTGGGGAAAAAAAGATGTTCAGACAATTACTATTGTCTGTAATGTCTCTGTCTCTCTGCTGCTGAATCTGGGATCATAATTACTATCCAACTCCACCGGAGCTCAGAAGTACAGCGGAAGAGCTAATTACTGGTTTCAGAGCTGTATTTCCTGACAGATCAAACTATCAGCTGAATCCAGCCAAAGAGGCTCCATATTGTTCAGGCAGAAGTGCAGATAGTACAATATTAGCAGCTTCCAAGTAGATAACTAGGACCGTATCAATCTTAACCTCAATCCTTTAAAACAGACACTGTGAAACTGATCTAAGAGTAAAAAATGTTTCTACTCGCTGTTGAATCTGAAGTTGGATGAGGGCTCTGGTACAGATGGAGACGAGGGCCCGGCACTGGATACGGTACTGGGAGGGCCGCTGGCGTCTGCACACACAAACACACAGAGTTAAAGGTCCTTGTCTTTCAAATTTATTTTTCATTTGTAGTTTTTGCTTTGGTAAAAAAATCCTTTAAATTTAATAATGTCATAATCATTTATTTAATCAAATTTACTTTAAATGAAATGGCATCTAATTTTAGTTGGAAAAAATATTTTAGTTAAAAAGAAAACATTTGTGCACTACTGTTCAAAAGTTTAGGATCTGTAAGATTTTTAAAATGTTTTTGCTTATATGCTCACCAAGGCTGCATTTATTTGATAAAAAATACAGTAAAAATAGGAATAGTGTCCAATATTTTAATTGTTATAATTATTCTATTTTCAAAAATTATTATTACGATGGCAAATCTGAATGTTCAGCATCAGTACTACAGTTTTCAGTGTCACATGATCCTTCAGAAATCATTCCAATATTCTAGTTTTGTGCTCAAGAAACATTTCTTATAATTATCAATCTTGAAAACATTTGTGCAGCATAATATTTTTGTGTAAAGTTCAAATTTTATGCAACATTATAAATGTCTTTACAGTCACTTTTGATCAAAGTAATGCATCCTTGCTAAAATAGTATTAATTTAAAAAAAGAAAAATTTTGAACAGTAGTATATATAACGTTTTATATATTAATTTACATTAATCATCCTGTATCCTAACACAACAACACTGGCTCAACTAATGGTGTGTGATTTTGGGATGGGGCTTCAGTATCTGAATAACCAATAGCAATTCCAATTGGTACCGCTTGTGTCACAGTAATCAATCACAGCACTCAAAATTAATTTGAAAAAACATAATATAAAGTCAGCCAAACTAGAACCTGTTGGTAGATTGTTAGTATTTGTTTCATAAATCATCTTTTCACATGGCCACATTTATATAACTGATATCCTGCTGTATTGTCCTACATAAAGAGCCTCATAGAACTAATGTTACATAACCAAAAACAGAACAATTACACTATTAATCTGAAAGATACTTTTATCTTCCAGCATGTTCCTGGCCCCACTTTTACAAACAATGATATTATAGTAAATGGGTTACAAAGAGGCAGACAACGCAGTGACTAACACAACCTAGATTCTTACTGAAAGCTGCTCCTTAAGCCACAGACTGAACATAAATCACTAAACTCTCAGGGGAAACTGCAGCATTAAAAGCCAACAGTAATCATCTAAATGGCAGAGCTAAAAACTAGAATAAACCTGACAACTAAATTTTGCAACCAAATAAGAGGTTTCATGTCTCGTCCAGTAAGAGTGACCATTTAAAGTGCCCTCAAAAGTGCCTTATCCTACTGAAAAAAGGTACTATGACAGTTATAAGATGACAATACCATGTCAAACATTTGCCTTTAGAAGCAGTTTAATTCAGCACTTTATAAGATATGAAAGATTTGCATATTGTTAAAAAAAGCTTTCTTTCTTTATCTCATAAGCCGGGTGCACTGTAGTTCTTGTCTGTCCTTTACAATAGTTGGTAATCAGATTGAACTGTGTGGCCTTGTGTAACTTGAGAACTTTTGCAAGCAGGTCATTCAGTTAGTGAGTCGAATTTTCTGAACGAATCAGTCCTGATTTATGAACAAATCATTTTGAGTTTCAAAAGAGCAATACTATAGTTTGGATGATGATATTCATTTAACCCTACTGAAATCAAGTGTGCCAGGCTGCTTTGTTTAGTATAACAAATCTAGTCATGCAGTTTGTACCAGAGTATGTGAGCGGAGTGATTTTGAATGGAGCGAGGAGTGGATTTTTAAAAAGTTGGAGCGTCATGGTTTTCATTCGCTGCAAGAGCGCTCCATCACGAGGACAATTCATGCCAACGGCCCGTAATATAACTGCACATTTAGCAAGAATTCACGTTAAACATATTTAGCTAGCTTGATAGAGAAGGATCACTCAAATCAGAAAGAATGTGAAGGCTATGTTGACGGCAATGACATAGCGGGAAGTTATTAAGGAATTTGTTTGTTTCCTCTAGATACTGAATATTTTCAGGTGAAATCATGATTTAAACAGGTACAACACATTCACACGCAAATCGCTCTCTCAATAATGCATTCAAACAAATGTAATCTTATACAGTGCTATTTCATATGCATCCGATTTCGAATTAGCAGAAATCTGTATGAAATGCAGCGATCCGTAGGTAAAATAACTGATGAAAACGTACTGTTATTTTCATCCCAAACAAAATTTGCACTGCAAAAAGCCTCAATAGCCTACCTTTTAATGCTGACAACCATGTTATTAGCTTGTCATGTGGTAGGAAAAAAGTTTGCACACTAGTGTTCCAATAATCCACTTTGAAACGCTCCTGTCATTTTATTTATTTTATTTTTTTCTTTTAATATACGTTATGAACAGAACTGTGATATTTCAAACATACTGAAATACTTTAGCCACGGAGCGGTGTTTCTGATATCAGTGAGCGAGGAGTGGAGCAGGAGCGGGAAATGGTGAACTCGGAGCGGAGTGATTATTAAATGCTCGGAGTGCGGAGGGGAAATTGTTGTCGCTCCACTCCGCTCACATACTCTGGTTTGTACATATCATATGGCATGCAATAAACAAACAATAAAAATACAAAACCTTTGAATTATTTATGGGCACAAGCAAGGTTTGATGCACATTCATGTTCCTTACACAGGTTACATTACCTTACAAAATATTTTTATATATTATATTCAAAATTCTTCACATTCACCAAGCCAAGTTTATGTGTGTGTGTATATATATATATATATATATATATATATATATACACACACATGTATATATATGTTTTCTGTTTTTTTATATTCTGTATTTTAATATATAATTTCTTTTATTTTATATTAATTAATTAATTAATTAATTATTATTATTGTTACGTTGAAAACAGTTGTGCTGCTTAATATTTTTTTGAAAACCATGATACATTCTTTCAGTATTCTTCAATGAAGAGAGAGTTCAAAAGAACAGCAATTATTTGAAATAAAATTTTATATTGAACATCAGTAATTTGGTTTCTACAGTTTTTAAAAGCAATATGCCACTGGAGGTCACTGATTTGATTGTTACATTGATTTTACCATGGTTAAGAGGGTATTAGAGCACAAAGCATGAGAACACTCAATAATGGTGGTAAAATAAATGTAACTACAGGCCTCTTGTGGATAATGTTTCTGTCTTGGGAAATGGTAACGTTTCGTCAATCAAGTTACTCTAATAAACATGTAAAAAGCTGCAAGAGCATTATACTTACTCTATGTAGACATCAACATAAGCAAGTGATCTTCACATTCACCAAGCCATATGTACAGGCATGCGGTAAGAAAAGAGGAACAGAGGTTATGAGATGTTATATAGCAGAAAGAAAGGCCACTGAGTGAAGAATGAAGAAAAGCAAGAAGTCAGATAAAAGAGCAGAGCAGATAACTGTAACACTTGGGCATAAGCTGAAGCATCACACACTTTGCACGTGTATATCAAAAATGAGGTAGTAAGACATGAAGCAGGGGAAGGACTGAGCAAGTAACAAGAGTGCTGACCAGAGAGGCATTCTGGGGGTTTCTGGCCAGCAAGGAGCAGGCGGAGGTGGTAGGAGCAGCGGTGTAGGTGGTGGAGCCCAGCTAACAGCTTTACCACCTGATGCTCATTTAAGAGCGCTACAGGAGAGAGAATGATGAGGACAAAAAGGACAGAATGGATGCAAGAGATAAAGGTTAGCAACAGAGAGGGATATCAAATGTCCAGGGACAGCAATTCTGGGAAGACAGAGGAAAAGATGGAAAGGAAAGAGTAATGACAGTTTTTAGTACTATTCCTTTCTTATTTGTGACCCTGGAGCACAAAACCAGTCTTAAGTCGCTGGGGTATATTTGTAGCAATAGTCAAAAATACATTGTATGGGTCAAAATTATTGATTTTTCTTTTATGCCAAAAATCATTAGGATATTAAAGGGGTCATATGATGCTTTTTTAAAGATCATTATTTTGTGTAACAGAATATGTTGACATGCTTTAATGTTAAAAAAAAAACTAATTGTAGGTCCTCTATGCCCCGCCTCTCTCAAACGCTTCGTTTTCTACAAAGTCCCTCCTTCCGACAAGCGCAGTCTGCTCTGATTGGCCAGCTGACCCAGTGCATTGTGATTGGCCGAACACCGCAAGCACTCGTCAGAACTGTAACGCCCCTTACCATAATCGCGAGCTTCAGCTTTCAAAATAAATGTAAAGACAGTAAATAATGTGATTAGTTTTACCATCAGTTCAAGCCCGAAACAGACGGTGATGAAGCTGGTATGTGTTTGCAGTACACAAGCCAAGGTTAAGACAGCTGACTCCACTGTGATGTGTCTGTCTCTGTCTCTGTCTCTGTCTCTCTCTCTCTCTCTCT